ATGGCTAAAGCTGGAGCAATTTGAGCAACGAAACAAGGACAGATTATAATCTACGGGATAATCTTTTGAGACCACACTGGTAGAAATTAAAAAATAAGAAGGGAGACGGACAGGTTTCTCTGAAAGATGAAGTCCAACTAAGATATAAAGAATGAGGGAAAGAGAAGAGCGCCACTGAGAACCCTGGTGCCTGCGGCAGGCAATGGGTGTCAAAATAGAGGGTGAAAGTTTGAGGAGAAACGGGACATGTGCACGTTCTCAAATAATCTTCCCCCAATATATACTCAGTACTGAAGGAAAAAGCGAGTTCCCAGCAGAGAACACTGGCAGACGCAGCCTCGTTGAGTGATGCAGGGACATGTCACAGAATGAGACGTGCAGCATACGAAAGGGCCCATCACAGCCATGATGCTCCTGCCAGAATCCCATGGCCTCCGGCTACCGCAGAGACACCGCCAGACACACTTCCCGAGGGCAACTCCACATGGCACCTCGAGCGTTATGGTCATGAAAGGAAAGATGAGGAGGTCGCTGACCAGAAGACACCAGACGTGACAGCCATAAGCAGCTCTGGGCCAGATCCTCAAACAGAAAAAGGACTCTAGTGGAGAAATCTGAAATGAAGTCTGTAGGTTGGTTTTAAAAACAAACCAATTCCTGGGCTCCCCCCCACCCCGCCCCTGGCAATTCTGAGACAGTCTGTCTGGAATCTGTACTTGACATTTAAAGTTCAGCAGCGCTCCAGTGACCCGCCAGACCTGGGAATCCGATGGCCAGGCCACCCCAGACCACAGGCACAAGGACTTCTGAAAGCCCCCAACGACCCCGAAATGGCAGCTTACGGAGCTGTGACTGGTGACAGGCAAGCGGCTCAGCGCCCTGTCGCACCTCCAGGCCCGGGAAGTGACAGAACCCAAGGCAGCTTCACCTGGAGGCCTGCCTTCAGCACAATCCCAGCCTTCTGACTATCTCTCTATCATGCTTGCTTACGACTTCATGCTGTTAGAACATAAAAGACAGATGACAAAGGGCTTTTATAATCTGAGCCACGCTCCCCCCACCCCCACCTGGCTGCACGCAGCCTCTCTACTTGCAGGTCAGGCTGAGTTCAGACACCTCGCAGAGAACCAGTGACATTCCAGAGATAACCACTCCCCTTCAGGCTTCCCTTGGAGTCTCTCTGGGCACACTTCTGTAGCAGGACTTTGTACAGAGAGGGCGAAGGTTCAGATGGTACGCCAGGACACACAGAGTTCTAGCACGATTTCACCAGAGCCAGAACGATACTCCAACAAAACAAGATCAGCACACTGCTGTTTCCACCCAGTGAAAAATACCTTCCCTAAATGTCTTAAATTAAGCAAAGTGAGAGAGCTCAGGGGTTCTAGCTTATACAACGGGCTACAAAGAAGTGACAAATAAAAAAGGTATCTCTTTTTTAGAGCAGCAAAATAGTTAAAGTAACAAATAAAAATCATTTCCCCTAACTTCAGATCATGTACAATACATATGTAAAAATTATCTACTCTAGAATTAGTGTCCAATTTTTTCTTCAGTAAAACTGCACTGGTTTTGAATATTTAATACCTAAGATATGAATATAAAGCACAAATTATATAAAAAGATGAGTGTCTTGCCAAGAGAGGTGAAGTTTTTATTTAGATCCTTTCAGAGAGTTGTGTCCAGTTCCTCTAGACTGGACAAACATCTGAATTTTTTTAAAACTGAAGTACAGTTGATTTACAACGTTGGGTTAGGTTCTGGTGTACAGCATAGTGATTCAGCTATACATATATACACGCTTTTTCATATTCTTTTTCATTACAGGTTATCACAAGCTATTGAATATAGTTCCCTGTGCTACACAGTAGGGCCCTGCTGTTTATTTATCCCGTAGTTAGCAGTTTGTATCTGCTAATCCTAAACCCCTAATATATCCCCCTCCTTCCCTCCCCCCCAACACCTGACTTCCTGAGACATCTGAAGACAGGATGATGTTACAACTTGTTTTTCCTATGCACAAAACTGATCGCCCAGCACGTGGATCAGACCTACGACACTGGGCTTACCCTAGTCCATGTGGTGAGGCAGCCCAGCTGACCAGACACGTGATCAGGACCAAGCCCCCAGGCAGACTAAACGATGCAGTGGTCATACAGTCACTTGGTGGAAATCCATCCAATTAATATTACTCACAAACTCAGAGTAGCAAATAATTCAGACACATTAGTAACTGTAAACCAAAAATGTGTGAGCATGCAGCAGATTCAGTGTGGCCCCACAGATATGAGCTGAATGAGGAGGATTCTGTTTTCTCTAAGTTAGCAGTTCAGCCACACACTCTACAGTGCTGTGGGGCAGCGTGCGGTTACCCGTGAGCCACCTCCAAGTCCTTCCTTTGTGAAAACAGATGGGGGCATCAATACAAGAATGGATAATGAGTAATTTTCAAACAGCCTAGACATACTTCTGGCCACAGCTTCTAAGCTCCTCTCCCCCAAATTCCCGAGCTCATCTGTGGCATCAGGATGAACTGGCAATCAAGCTGTGAAAACAAAGATTCTTGGGGAATTTACTCCCCCAAACTGCCTAGCCAGTAACATCACCACATTTCTGTTAGGAAATGAAATTCTATCCAACTAAATATTTTACTAGTTTTGTGATCATTGTCCATGCTGGAGGAAAGTGGTCCTGGACCCACTTACCCTGTGCTGCTCCAGGATTTCGGATTTCGGGTGTCGGGGAGTCACAGAGTCCCAGGGCTGAGGTGGGTGGGGGCTCCCCGCTCAGCACGAGGCCCTGGCTCCCAGCCACACGCCCCGCCCACAGGGTGACTTGCTGTCTTCTACCTCTGTTTACGTTACTTCACCTTGTTGTAAATAATATAAATATACAAAATTCTCTGAAAAAAGGGAGCTTTTTGGACTCCAGCAGGTCCTCTGATGGGAGTGTGGGGAACACAGATGGAGCAGCGCCACCTCCCGGGGTCTCAGTGCTGCCCCGTGACCAGGGTGCCACTCTGGGCAGGGGCTCCTGTCTCCAGGAGGAACAGCCAGACGCCTGCACAGCCCCTTCCAGCTCTAACGCACAGAAAGACTCCATTCGACAAGCACGTCATGGAATGAGTCTGGCTACGAGCTCCTGCAGTACATCCTGCCCTAATTTTAAAAAAGCAATTAAAGTAATTTAAAGTAAGTGGGGGGAAACAAGGCCAACATTATTTCGGAACTTCAAGGTCATGTGAATATGAAATAACTTGGCCTTTTCCTTACCAAATAAAGGAATTACCTTCACTTGTTTAAAAATTCTACAAATACGATTTAAAAAAAGTCCCAATTTCTAACTAAGCACAAAAGTTTCTTCACGTTTTTTTAAACTATGAGATTTATACATTTACACTCCAAGCACATCAAGCCATCTCTTTCACGATGGAGACTTTCATCTCTCAAAAAGAGGTGTGTCCAGACAGCATGTGACCAGGAAGGAGCATCTGGGTCACCGAGGGCCTGGACCCTGAGTGTTCCCTCGCCCCGCCACACACACCCAGTCACAAAGTCGAACTCCTGCGTGGTCAGCACAGCTTATTATGCAGATAGCAAATCGCGTGTCCTGAACACCAGCCACTCAGAAAATACAAGTTTCTCTTGGGGCTGGGAGGTGACTCAGGGGACTTGATGCTCTAATACTAAGGCAGACGGACCTGTGGGCACAGTGCGGCCCGAGCCCCGGCCGCCCTCCCTCCAGAAGCCACCACCAGCAGCAGGAAGCACCAGGACTCTTCCTGTGACGCTGGCTTCTGTGTGCCGGTGCTGCTCACTGCATGAATTTTTAAACCGTTTTACAGTCAGCCACACTCACCACTCTCCCTTCTGACCTTTACAATAAATGCGCAGGAATCCACATACACATATACTCTACACTGTTAAATGAAAATTTCAAAAGTGAACGACCCCTCTCCGTGCACCAGACCTCCATTCAAAGTCAAAAGACCCCAGCAAGTACCTGATTGCCAACAGGTCCAAACGCAAAAAGCACAAAAACGGGTAAAGGGGACAAAAATTTGTTTAACTTTGAAACTAAAATCAACCTGATTATGAGCCACAGATTTTAGAAACTAATTTGTCTTATTTTACACTTGTTTTCCTAAAAATGTACACACGTCCTTAATTTTCTCAAAACTGCCTTTACCTCATTGCATTTATTTCAGATTATTTTTAAGGGAAAAGGTAGAGTTAAATTATACTGCCCTTAATTCATCTGATTTTGTTTCCTTACTGCAGACTTCTAAAACTTACAATTTTACATGACTTGCTTTATTTTATATCTTGTAAGAAGAGAGGAAACTCCAGGTAAAAAAAAAAATAGACAATTTGCATTTTCCCCACATATTTCAAGATCACAAATTTTTTTGCTAGCAGCCACAGGAGAAAAAAAGACTCCAGTCACATTCTCAAAAGAAGATGCCAGTTTCAAAATATTAGTTCAGCTTTCAAAACAAAATGGCTAGGACAAAACAAACTCATGGAAAAAGAGATCAGACTTATGGCTACCAGAGGCAGGGTAGAGGCTGGAGGGACTGGATGAAGGCAGTCACTAAACCTGAAAAACAGATCTTTTTTTAAACCCATAGAATTTTCAATGCTTTTTATTGCTCAACTACTACACTTAGATGCAAAGAGAATGTGAGACTAGATATATTTCATGTGAAACCTAGTTTCAAAAAAATTCCATTTAAAGCAGCAGTTTCATTTTTTCTAGGCAGAAAATTATTATTTGCTAAATAACAAACAGAAAAAGAAAGACAGTGTAGAGTGCATGAGGAAGAGCAGGTAGCCAAAGATTTCTGTTGAATACGACATTTAAAACTTAACAAAACTCATTCTGATGCTACATTTTCCAAAGGAAAGGCACCAGCTCTTTTCCCTGGTGGGTGTCCCACCCGCTCCTGTCAGCGTGTCGCAGGTGGAGGAAGGGGCCAGCTGCTGGTGGATGTAACTCACCAGGAGACCAGCCGGGGCCTTTCCAGGGTAAACACCTTCAGGTTTACTTAAGGAGCCTTCAGGAACCTTCTCCTCCTCATCTTCACTATCGTCTTCTAAGTAAAACATCTTAAAACTGAACTAGTTCATCAGCATGTCTTTTTTCAGCAATGAAGGCACACATCTAAGTTATCAAAACAGAAAGCTGTTCTGCTGACAAACTGAGGGCAGACTGTTTGCAGACACAGTTATATGGTTAAAACTGAAAGGAAATGGTTCTTTAAAAAAAAAAGCAATACATGCATGACTTTACCAATAAGATTTGCTAAAAAACGCCTCAACCCCTTCCCTCTGAAGGAGATAAGCGGGGCGGGGGCGGGCTGTGCCCGTGTGTCTGCACCGATAGGTACCAAGCCCCGCCCACGACCAGCTCTGCGGCTTCCATCACTCGGGACACGGATTGAGTTAATGATTCTCTACATCAATCACATCCTCATTTTTAGAGATAAAAACAACTGCACATATGGAGGAGTAATCTTCAATAAATTATTCATGTAAGGGAAAATAGTTTACATATATTTTCTAAGCATCAATGAGCTTCCCAAAGACAGCCAGGTTACACATGCTTTACAGCACTCAATCCCTAGAATGCTTTCCTCTGTCATACTGGCACGACCCAATACGTTCCCACAATTCTGAATGGGAGCTAGCCGGCAGAGCACTGTAAACAATGGACAAATTATATTAAACATTTGTTACTGTGCGTTAACACAGCATTGGTTATAGCAATGCTCTAAGAGTACCATTACATAATAATACAATGACAAGGCAACACTACAACTCAAACATTCCTGGTATTTCTTTTCCAGCTCTTAGTAAGTTAATATTTAGTAACTTCAAGTGAGTTTTTCTAAAAACCTAAAACACTTACACACAGACAAAATATATTAATTTTTAAATTAAAATAGACTATTTTATTCAAGCCAGTGTCAAGGACCGTGCTGTTTGTTACAAATAGCCATTATTCACGTGGCTATACGTGCAATATGGATAGTGTCAACGAAGATGTGCTGTTAAGCGTAAACACACAAAATGAAAGAAGAATGTGAAATAATCTCGTAATTTTTTACATATAGGTTACTTGTTGAAATGATAATATTTTGGACGTACTAAGTTAAATAAAATACATTCTTAAAATTAACTTTACTTGCTTTTCTCTCTTTACTTTTAACATTACTAGAAAATTTTAAATGACACACGTGGCTCCCATTGTATTTCTACTGCAGCACAGCTTTAGGACCCTGAAACAATCTTGAGAACAAGGAGGGAAAATTTCATTCAGGCAGAACTCCATCAATGAGAAGCTGAGGATGACAAGAGTTTTCATCATTCCACAGAAGTATTTAGTTAATTCACCAACAATAAATTAGTGATCTCAAATATGTAGTAATGTTCACATTATTAAACCTTTTTCTCTACCACTAAACATCACAAAGAATTCCCAAATGTCTGACAAAGGGGAGACTGGCAATGTTTACTACAGCAATATTCCACCAAGGTACACATAATATAAAGGTTAAACGGCAAAATTAAAAACAGAATTTCATCAAAGTTAGAAATGAGAAAATGTATTTTGCATTCAACACGTTTACACTGCCTGCTGCCCAGACAACCAGACACTAATATGAAGGGCCCAAGGTGCTCATAATCCAAGTCAATGTACACCATGACACAAGCTCCTCCTTTCAGAACGGAAGTGGGGTTTTTGGCCTAAATATCACACAAGTTATAAACTCTAAACCTCTTCCTCCATGTCCTGCAGCAGTCCCAGACCAGACATCAGATGGTACCAAGAGAAAGCCCATCCTGGGGTGTTACCCGTGGGAGGTTGGGGGAAGGGGAGGTGAGGAGGAAGACGAGGAAGACGAGGAAGGGGAAAGAGGGAAAGTTGGAGGAGATGAGAAAATATGCCGGTGGATGGAAAACAAAAACAAGAGAAAAACCTGATCCACCTTAACTGAGAGGAAACTGAGGCCCAGAGAGAAGCTGGGCAGTCAGCCCCTGGGGCACCCACTTCGCAGGCACCAGTTTCTGGGTTGTGCTTTTGTCGTGATGCCAGGCTGAAGCCCCCGAGAAGGGCTGGGAGAAGGAGTCGGAGGTCGACAGGAGAGGGAGAAGGCCTAAGGGGAGGGGAGAGGCGGGTAGGGGCAGAGGTCAGCGGCCAGGAACTGTGCAGGGCAACCTCCACCTCAGTGCCTCTTACAGACGAGCAGCCCGGGCCAGCCACCTCGGGTCCCAGCAGGTGCCGGGATGTCTCACTGTTTGGTTTGACGGATGACTCACAGGTCGTTCTGACGCAGGGAGCGTGCACCAGGGCCCAGACAGAGGGTGAGCTCATCTTCCAAACATCAATTTCGCCACAGGGTGACACCTCCAGCCCCTCCCACCATGGCCCGTGTGGATCTGACCCCAGGCTTGGCCCTGACCTTTTGGTAACTTGAATGGTGGCGCTTTTCGGACTCGGTCAATAAAAGTTAAAATCACAACCAACAATTCTTAATCATCCATGTGAGTTTTCAAAGAAAAATTCTAATGCACTGTCTGACTTTTTCTCTACAGGCTAAGATGAGAGTAAATGTTGAGTACTGAGAAAAACTACATTTTATTTTCGCACAGCATCTTCAATAACCTTAAAAAAAAAGCAGGAGGAAGCTGGAAATCTTTCTTCCAAGACTTCAATCTTCCAACAAAAAGACTAGCTTAGGGATACAAAACTAAAACGCTGGTCAGGATAGTCAGAATCTTGTTCAGATTCCACAGCTGATGATGCTGGTAAAATATGCAACCTTTATTTTTTCCCACTACGAACCCCATGGGTGTATGAGACTAGGTATAGACAGCTTCTTAAGAAAATGTAAGAATTTATTTAAAATTTCCTAAAATGAAACTTGCTAATTTGAAGTTGGGCTAAATTGACTAAACAGAAATACCTTTACGCCACAAGTGTATTCTGTTTTTAACACAAAACATGAAAATAATCTACTCCCCCCAGTGGTCACAATGTGGAATAGCAACATATTTCTACTGAATTACCAATGAAGAGGTGAGAAAATTAAAAAGTTGTGATTAGTAAAAAAATTACGGTGAAAATATTTTTTAAAGCCTCAGTTACAAAGAATTTATAATCTCCACTGTAACTGTTCTACAGTGAAGGAATTAACTCAGGTGCATTTCTGTATTTTCGATGCCACTCATGACAGAGACCTACACAAAAGGACCACAGCCTACACAAACGCGTATGAAGTATTCCTCTCTCTGGAATTACCTATAATTAATGCTTCCCTATGAAAACAATCCAAGAGAGACTGATACACTTTCTTCAAAACCAAGGGAAAATTCTTCCTGGTACCACTCTGAGGTTTTTCCAAACTTTTGTAGTCCACCTGCTTCCTGGGTAATGACTGACTAGTTCACTCAAGTTCAGTGTTCCACTGTGTCCTCACGCAATCCCCAAACTCTGAACAGCACAGCCAGTGACATTTCCATCTGAGCTGTGAAGGAACGAATAATCAAACACAAACAGGCCTTCCTAGGACCAGAGGAGAAAAAAACGGTAGAGTCTCCTGCGGTTAGAAGGCCCAGCTTAAAGTGACTCTCCCAACGATAATCGTCTTGAAGACTTACATTTCACCTTTAAAAGTCAACACACTTTGCATTTTACTCTGATGTACCCATTTTTTAATATGGAAAAAAAAAGACTAACTGGCCAAAGTTTTCTTCTACCAAGTTCTGGCTTAATGTACCACATTCACTGTACACGTGGCCTGGAACATCCCAGTGTTCTCGTCCCAGGCTAAGGAGTTTGGGGCTGAACAACCTCTGGGCTCTAACTCTGACTTGCACATTGAGGTCGAACTTTCCCCAACATTTTGACACCAGACTGACAATACTGGGTTGTCCGCAGCAATCAAGAGTGTGGTGCTTTAATCTTTTAGAAACAAATTCTGCTACACTTTTCGGGAGCACACTGCATATGACAACACAGTGAGGCCACGTGCAGGCGCGTCAGGAGGCATGTGCTGGGCTTCTCCACTCCAGGTCAAAGTGAGATGGCCTAAAACTGGCCAAAGAAAATGACAACAAATAACACATGAACTGAGCAGGAGCGGATGATATCATTAAGGCAATCGGGAGAAAAACAGGCGAAATTTATGACAAGTTATGAGATGAGCATCTCGTAGGGACCCGTGTCAGTCACTCCCTCACGTCCCTCGACTCTTTAGAGGCATTTCCACGCCTACAGCTGGTTCTCCACATTTCTCACTAAAGATTTCCTGGACCATCTGAAAAGCTGGTGATGGTTGTTTCAATTATTTTGTTGCTCTGATTACATCTTCTCCAAACAATTATTTACAATTTTTGTATTTAAAAAATATTGTTAATTAGGGGGTCCTCTTCCTTCCGTCTGCTTCCAACCAGATAAATGAAGTGCCACCGTCACGCTGATTAAGAATTTAGAAACCAGGACTGAGCAATAATCTCTTGGATGTGCAGTTTCACGGGGAAAATGTAAACATTCTATCATACATAAAATTCATACAAACGATAAATCCACTAGGATCTCAAGAGATGAGTGTACAAAAGACACAGACAACTGACCTTCATACACACAACTGTCATCGACAATGAGAAGCTGCTCGTGTCTCACGTGGAGAAGGCAGGATGGACACCAAGGCCTGTCTGACTCCAGAGCCCCTGCTTTTAGCACACTGATGGTGTTTCATCTACAACCCGCCTGCTATCGCATTAGCAGGAGGAAAGAAAACACCACCCAAGCAGCTGGGACTGTCATTTTAATAAAGAATCATGGTGTGGGAGGGTACAGCGCAGTGGTACAGAGTGTGCTTAGCCAGCACGAGGTCCTTGGTTCCTGGGTTCAATCCCCAGCACCTCTGTTAAAAAAAAAATAAAAAGGACCATCATAAGTGCTGCTGAGAGTCATCTGCCCAGGAAAAACTGTGAGAGTGCAAATTACCGGTCTGTACCCTTAAATGGACCCCCACTGGAGCCTGGAAGCCCCGCTGGGTTTCTGTGGTCAGTCTGCTCTCCTAGTTTCTGTTTCTTTTTCAAACTCCCACATTTCTCAACCACATTCCTGCCACCCTCCCTCCCCACCCCCGTTTCCTTCCCCTCCTTCAGAATATGTGGCATTTCACATTTTTGTACACGGGGTCAATTTGTGTTCAACGGCTAAAACA